TGACCGGCTGGAAACGGTTGGTAGGACTCAGTGGGCCTGAACGGCAGTTAGGGCTGACACACCAGGCAGTCTTTAAGTGTTGAGGGCCTGTTTGAACCACTCCCCTACCGGACCAAGTAAGGTTGAGGATCTGTGTCTGACGACTCGACTGTCCCGGAGGTCAAACCCTCCCAAGGACCGGTACAGTCCAGCGGGCTGCTCGGTGTGGCACAGTAGGCCGGAAAGGCTGAGTTGTGGGCTGAAAGCACAGGCAGAACCAAGCTGATCACGACGTCCTGTCTGCGACGTTAAAKAATTCTTGAGGAGTTACGGGGGATCTCCTTAAATGCCTCCTGATCAGCCACTGGTTCAGTAGTGACAGCCATAGCATAGGTCTAGGCTAGAGACCATAGTTGACAGGGTCCTTGTCAGGATTCTTTAAGTCTTAAATTGAGTCCTAGGTTGTTAGTCAGGGGTTAGAGTCTACGTGGCGAGGAGTGGAATCATCCCGATTGTGCATCTATCACCACGGTGGACCTGCGTAGTGGGAAGAGCAGTAGCCCCTATACCACTAATGAGCAAGAAAAGATGGCCGCCTTAGTCAAAGAGAATAAGGAGAGGAAAGAGCGTGAGAAGCAGGCGAAGCTAAAGGCTATCGCAGACGAGCGGGCGGCAAAGATGAAGGAAGTGGAGGAGGAGATGAAGAAAAAGGAGAAGGCTGCTGAAGAAGAAGCGGCAGCAGAAGAAGAAAAGGAGAGGATGAGGATCGAGAGTGGAGAAGGGAGCAGTGGTGGCACGATGAAGAGGGACGTGGATGCAGACATTGAGAAAAAGATAAGTGAGTGGGTTGCCAATTTATCGTTGGGGGAAGACGAGGAGGCGGAGTCATATGTGACTGAGGATGAGAAGGCCGCACTGGCCGCTGAGCTAGCAGCCATGACGGACGCGATGGAACGAAGAGAGAGGGGAGACGAGCAGAAGTTGCAGTGGAAGCTGAGGATGAAGAGGGAGAAGAGGAGGAGGAGAGAAGAAGTGAATAAGATGACCGCAGCAGTGGCAAAGGTGCAGGAGTGTAGAGCGGAGGTATTGGCCTAGCCAGATGCCAAGGCCAAGTGGGATAAGGTACTGGGCTACCTAGAGGTATTAAGCAAGGGTTGGATGGAGGAGCGTCAGGCAAGCTGGAGCCAGGATGTAGCCTTGAGCGCCATGCGGTCCGGATTTAGGGAGTTTGCGCGCAAGATCGTCACCCACATTGGGGGCGAAGTGAAACAGATGAGGGACAATGTAGGAAAGTACTGCGAAGGCGCCATTGAGGGTGCCAAAGCCATAGCTGCTGCAGAGGGCGAAGGTAGACCCCGCAAAGAGCCTATAAAGCTCAAGTTCCCAGACACGTACGGGGGAGAGGAGGAGGAGAACTTTGACAACTGGGAGGCCAGTGTCAACAGTTACATTTATTTGCAACATATCCTAACTGAGGAGCAAGTCCTCGTGGCCTTCCAGGCCCTCAAGGACGAAGCAACTAGTTTCGCTAGGTCCCTTACGCGCGCGGCCGGTTGTGAGAACAACCTGGTTGCTTACTCTAAAGTCACCCCCCTTTCCCAATTCCTCAAGCTTCTGAAGGAACGGTTTGTAGACCCAACGAGAGGCGTTCGTGCCTCTGATAAACTGCAAACAATCCACTCACGACAGTGGAGGAGTGCAAGAGCACTCAAGGGTACCATGGACGACTTGGTAGCCGTCCCGGACCATGGGGTCACTGAGCCCCAGTTGGTTCAGTTATTCTATCGCGCCATACCGGAGGCCCTGCGTGGGCATTTCTTTGACAAGTCTCAACAGGCCGGCATCACATATGATGCATTGAGTAGGGAAGTCGTCCTGTATGAGTCGAAGTCCATGCCAGTTACCACCTTCTGGCACAAGGACTTGGAGAAGGGGAAAGGGTGGAAAGGGCGTACCATCTCTGGCCAAGTCAAGGCCAAGGATCATATGATCCTTACCTTAGAGGAAGGTGGTACTGATGAGGTCCCATACAGTGAGATAGAGTGGGGCCTCGAGGATGATGGCAGTAGTGTGGGGCAAGGGAGGTCCTATGCTGCTATCGCGGCTGGAGGGAAGCCGCAAGGTAGAGGAGGAGGCCAGGGCCAAAGGGGCCAGGCCATGGGAGGCCGTGGGCCGGGCGCACAGGGGGTTGGCGGACAGGGAAACCGCCAAGCGGGAGGTAGGGGTAAAGGTCCCCCGTTAAATCGCCAGGGTAATCGGTCCCCACAGCGAGGAGGTGGAAGGGCACCTCAAGGAGGATGGCACCCAGGCTTGCCACAGGGCAGGCCCTGGGAAGACTTGGGCTTGGACCAACAATTATGGCAGGAACGAGTGAACATGGGTCAGTGCGTATTCTGTGGTGACCTGGCGCACGTAATAAAATTTTGTCCTAAGTATAGACAGGCCCATTGGGCTGCCCAGCAGTCAAAAGGCAGCCGCCAGTAGGGTTGCAACTGCCCCTACTTCCAGGCCATGTGGAGAAGTGAGCGCGCGCGACCAGGACACTCCCAACCCACATGAGCCTATGGCAGAGGTTGCAGGCCCGTGCCTAGGTAGCTGTCCAGAGACCGCCTGTGTTAGCGTCTCTTTAGGCACGTCCCTCACAGGCGTGGCAGAAGAGTTACGGGAGAGAATGCCCGCTTGGGCCAAGATGAAGAGAGAGAGTAAAGGACAACTGATTTTGGTACATGTAGAGGTTCTTAGAAATAGAGTAGGGGCCGTCATAGACTAAGGGGCTACCCGTAGTTATATTAGTCGTAGGGCGCTGAAGAAGCTGAGGCTGGGACTAAAAGTCCAGAAGTTAGTCGACCCCATAGTTAGTGTCCTCGCAGACAACCGCACGATGCGAGTTGAGGACTATGTAGAGGGAGTCCAGGCGTATTTTCATCTAGAGGAGGACGGGAAGGTAGAGAAAGTTCTCCATTCCTTGACTCTCCTCGTACAAGATGACCTTCCTTTCGATATAGTGTTAGGAATGGATTGGGGAGAGGCAGCAGGGGCCACACTTCATTTGGGAGAGCATGTGTAGGCTCCCTAGTCCGTCAGGCGAGGTTAAGACTGGCGCTTGTTCCATGTGTCTGGTGTAGATAACACCTTAGCACATTGTTGTCTCAGTGCTCCCGCGTTCGCGCGATTAGTAAGAAAGGAGCAATTAGAGGAACAGGTCTTTATAGTGTATGTTAGACCTGTCACTGAGGCCCAGGAAAAGGATAGTTCCACAGATCCAACAATTGCCAAGCTGCTGGAAAAGTTCAAAGATTTGACTGAGTCGCCGACAGGAGTAGTGCCGCGACCTATCCAACACAGGATAGAGATAGAGCCTGGCAGTAGAACTCCTAAGGGTGCAATCTACAGGATGTCCCCTAGAGAGTTAGAGGAGCTTCGCAAGCAGTTAGACGAACTCCTTGAGAAGGGTTGGATCAGGCCCAGTTCGTCTCCTTTTGGAGCACCAGTCTTGTTTGTCCCCAAGAAGGAAGGAGAGCTTCGCATGTGCATAGACTATAGGGGTTTGAATGCGATCACAGTGAAGAATGTTGAGCCGCTGCCCAGGATAGACRATCTCTTAGATCGGGTGCAGGGTTGTAAGTATTTCTCTAAGATAGACTTAAAGTCCGGATACCATCAAATAGAAGTCCACCCTGATGATCAGTATAAGACTGCGTTCCGGACTAGATATGGGCACTATGTGTTCATAGTGATGCCCTTTGGACTAACCAACGCGCCAACTACTTCTCAACGTTGTATGAATGACCTGTTTAGACCATGGTTAGATAAGTTTAAAGTAGTCTATTTAAATGATATTCTCGTTTTTAGTAAGACCCTCCAGGAGCACCAGAGTCATCTGAGGCAGATCTTGGAGAAGCTTAGAGAGGCTAGCTTCAAGATCAACGCAAAGAAGTGCGAGTGGGCCAAAACACAAGTCCTGTACTTGGGCCACGTATTAGACGGAGATGGCATTAAGCCAGAGGACAGCAAGATAGCGGCGATTAGAGATAGCAGCATTATACCAGATCAGATTAACTGGGATGAGATGTTGCCTAACCTAGCTAGTCCATACAACAACAGCGTGCATTTATCCACCTGCCGCACTCCCAATGAGTTGCACAAGTCCTTTAGACCACGCAGACCGTTCGAAGGACTGAACCGGGATCAGATTCACAGATTACCGCCCGGTACCAGGGAGTTTGCGATACAGAACGAGAAAGAACTAGCCACTGTTGTTGAAAACCTCAGGAAGGCCCAGCATAGGATGATAGAGCAAGCTAATAAGCACCGCCGCCCGTCGCAGTTTCAGGTAGGCGACTTAGTCTGGGTCAAGGCTAAAGAGTTTGCACCTGCGGAAAACATCTCGTAGAAGTTACTGCCCGCATATAGAGGACCGTGGCCAGTTCTAGAAGTCAAGGGCGGAGAGGATGGACCGTCCTATAGCATTGAGATTCCCGCACACCTCCACACATACCCTGTGTTTCATGCTTCAAAGTTGTTGCCGTGTGTCACAAGTCAACAGTTCCCTTCGAGAAGATCCATGATCCCCCCGGATATGGATGGAAGTTATGACATTGAAGGCATTGTAGATGAGGATGTGTTCAGAACAGGAGGTAGAGGTCGTCCCCAGAAACAATATAAGATCCGTTTTGCCTATCAGGAACCGGAAGACGACCGCTGGTTCACGAAAACAGAACTTCTAGAAACCGCTCCCAACA